AGCTTGGTGAAGTTTGATTTGAGTGGGGAGAGGTTTTTCATGGTTACTGATGCGAAAGTTGGAGTTCATCAGGCGGAGGATGCAAAGTTGGTTTGTGAGATGGAGAATCAGAATCAGAAGCGTATTCTTTGTGCTGCGCCGGGTGAGGTTAGTTTAGTTTCATATGTTGTCTTCTATTTGTTTATGTTTGAGTTTCCTTCATTCCAATTGCTCGTGTTATGTTTTTCAATTGCAAGGTCTTTTTTTTCTTAGGGCAAGAATGTGTCATTATTAATTCTGAAAAACCCTTTAGTTGTTCAAGCAAGAAAGCAACTCAAGTACACGTCAAACTGCCAATAAACTGTTTTAGCACTTGAATCATAAGACTTGTTGGCCAAGGTAATTATGCTTGCTTCTCCATCGGGGAAGTTTTAGTGGTGGAAAGGGAGTTATTTAACATTTTTCTAGAGGGTAAGATTCACCTATGTATAACGGGGAACAGTTGTCAGAATCGTTTTTTCTGCCTCCATTTTTGGTGAATCCTCTTTCCAGTTCTACTACTAGTCCCCTTTTTTTTTTGAGAAGTACTACTGGTCCTCAATTTATATTTATCAGTGGTTCATGTTGTAGTTCTTTTACGAGCAAGTTTTGCAAATTGCTCATTTAATTTTGGAGCATGCCTGTTTTCTTCAGTCTTTGTGAAAAATCCAGATTGATTTGAGACATCAATATGCATCTCCCAACTCATCTAATGGTGAATCCTTTGTGGTTAGGGCCTGGGGCCAAAGTATTTGAAAGATATCATGCCTTTTTTCAATTTGCACTTTTTTATTTCTGAACTTTCATCATATTTTGACAGAATGGAGTTTTGTTCGTTGGTGGTGAGGATCGTAGCATTACAGCATGGGACACAAACAGTGGGAAGGTTGTATATTCCATCGAGGATGCACACTCTGCTCGCATTAAAGGTATTGTTGTTTTGACTAGGAAGGACAATGACGGTGCTGCTGAGGACCCATATTTGGTGTCTTCTGCATCATCAGATGGAGTTATACGTGTCTGGGATGTTCGTATGGCTGCGAAAGAGAAGGCAAGTCCTTTGGCCGAGGCTAATACAAAATCAAGGCTGACTTGTCTTGCTGGCTCATCTCTTAAATGTGAGTATCATGCCTACTTTCTTGCTGTTGTTTTTGTTTCTTCCTTTAAATTATTAATGTTTTCGATTTTTATAGCTAGAAATATGCATACATCTCATTTATTGGATAATGCATCCTAGTTCTTTACCCGAATTCCACAAAGTGTGATGACCAAGTTACATTTGGTCTAGACTGTGGTGATACTCTGCTTGTTTGGCAGATTTGTTTGATCATATTATTCACATAATGGTAGCCATATCGTGTGTATATTTTCTTGATACTAAGCAGTCTTTGCTGGTCTTTATTTCCATCCATCTGTTTTTTTGGCTGATGGGTATTTTGTTGAAATTATTTTTTCAAGTTGTTGGTATATTGCAACTAAACTTTCAATTTATAGAATCTTGGGAAAGAGAACCTTGTGGGAATGGTGGGATAGAGATGGAAATCAAGAATCCTACTTTCCTTGTTCCTTCCATGGTTGATATCGACAGTATCGATTGGGAAATAGCTGATCTAAACTTCAGGGTGCTTTAAATTCAGCTAACAAGAAAAATGTAAAACACGAAGTCAATTTGTTTCTTATATGCTTATGTTTGTGATTCTTTGAGCATGATTCTGCTGGGGTTTGGTAAGATGGTTCAATTCAAGCTCAAGTTTGGGATTGATTGAGGAGTTAGTGTTGGTGGCTTTATTGAAGATGAATTGTGGGCATGGGAAAGGATTTTTACCTCGTAAGCAGAGTGGTTGGGTTGAAAACAATGGTAATGTTTTGCATAGTTTGGAAATTGGAGACTTTTTCTTGGTATAGAGTATGCTTGCATGCCTCCAGTTCTAGGTGTAGTGGGAGTTTTTTTGTAAGATGCGGTTAACCCTTAGATTTTGACTGTTCAATAATTTTATATCCATGTTTGGCAGCCCCTTGGTGTTTCATACCATCTTTAATATAATAAATGGATCTGGCTTTCCAGTTTTTAAAACTGAATTCTCATGTAGATGGTGTTTGACTTGGTTAAAATTTTGTCAAAGAGAGTTTATAAACTTTCAAGAGCTTAAAATTTCTTTGCTAAAGTATTTGACAATTAATAAAAAAAGTTAAAATTCAGGTAGCTTTTAAGCTTTTATAATAATGGTCTACAAATGTTTGTAGGCAGTAGTTACTTGTGAAGCTCTCTAAAGTGAGCTTGTGTTGAGGGATAGTGAGTGTGGCATTGGTTCAAGCAAAGTGTTTTAATTATCAAAGCTCTAGGTGATTTGAGTTAGTTCGTATAATATAGTATGAGAGGGGGAAAAGGTAAAATTAATTAGATAACTGACTGTTCTTGCATGTCCTGGGCCTGTCTCATCAATTTTCAACGGATTGACTGAAACGATGCTTAAGATTATAAAGATCAAATAAGCAACGGTAGACATATTTTGATTTAAAGTTTGAAATACTCTCGTCTTTTTTAACAATTTGAATATTTTTACTACTCATTTACTATTTACTATTACCTTTATAGATTCTTCTCTTAAAAAATTAGTATTCCAACAAAGTATATATAAATCATTGAGAAATATAGTTCACAAAATATTAGAAGATCAAAATCTGTTATCCTTATTCAGCATGTGAAAGCAAAGGAGCTTCAAACTAGCAAGAAGTTCAATCTATTTCATGTCTATTTTGTTGGGATATGACATTATTAGTGATGAGAATTTTGAGAATGTCATAGATACGCTAACATTTTTATAAAGTCTATGTACATGGGTGTTACCTCCTTTTTTGGTACGATGTTAATATATACGTCATATTTTTATTTCAAAAAGAAAAGCTCAATCTGTTTCGTGAGATATTGATTGCACGATATATATATATATATATATATATATATATATATATGTATATGTGTATATGTTATGGTTTTGAGAAACTTGATCGTGTCTCCTTTAGTTCAAAGAATTCGTTGTAGATATTAGAAGATCAAAATCTGTTATCCCCCTATTCAGCATGTGAAAGCAAAGGAGCTTTAAACTAGCAAGAAGCTCGATCAATCTGTTTCATGAGATATTGACTGCATGATATATATATATATATGTGTGTGTGTGTGTATGTTATGGTTTTGAGAAACTTGATTGTATTTCCTTTAGTTCAAAGAATTCGTTTAAAATGAAGCTTGGTTTTGTTTGTGTGGTTGCTCAGCTTTGAGAAGACCAGAGATTGGAAAGAAGGATTCAAAGAGGGAGCAGGATGCCTCAGATTAATGAAGTTACTGGGGTGGGTTTCTCTCCCAATCAATTTTGACAGTTTCTGCCAAGAACTGGAAAAAAAAAATGGAATCTTCATGAATTTATATCAGTTGTACAACTTTCTGTTAATTTTAATCAAATATTTGATTCGATTCGTTTTAAGATTCAAGGGTTGGTTAAATATTGAATTCTAAGGAACTGTAAAATCTTAGGATGAAAAATTATTGTTCTTCTTTATTTTTTTATTTTCAAAACCAAGCATTATGGAGAATATATGGGAAAAAAATACTCTATGTACATATATATATATATATATTGAAATAAAAAGTGAAATATATACTCACAAGATACCAAAAGAAAAGGGTACTGTACTTGTACAAAAACTTCAGAGACATTTTTAAAATCTTGGTAAGTGTATTTTAGCAAAGTTAATTTTTATCATTTCGGCCATTTCTAAGTTTGTACAGGAATGAAATAGAGGGATGACCTTTTCGAAATAGAGGGATGACCTTTTCTCGTGCTATAATCCTAAGGTCTGAGAGAGAAAAAAAATTTATATAGAACTGAAGCTCTTATAATCCGATAAGCCCTCCCGGAGGAAATCATAGATTATATTGCGGTAATGTGATTATTATTCCTTAACCTCTCAGAGGGGGAATGAAGGAGAGAGGGGAGACCGAATAACCTAATGAGAGAACTTTAAAAATGACTCTGATTAGAACATGATTAATGTCGAAGATGAACTGTTAATATTATAAACGATTATTCTCGATTGGATTTTTTATTAGAGTGATCAACCAATGATCTAACATACTAATCAAAAATTATATATATATATATATATATATATACATGCATATATTTATTTTTATATATTTTTTTTAAAAAATATAAAAATAACAAATTGATTCTCAACTTCGGATTCTCTGATTTTAATCTTATACTCATCTTAATGCGACAGATTGACTTATATATATGTGTGTGTGTGTGTGTGTTCGTATATCTTAGTACGGTCTTGTTAATCCGATTATTCATTTTATTTTTCCAAATACGTGATAACTTGAGCTTGGAAGGCATCTTGGTTTACCCAAAACTTCCATCACTTTAACCTTTGAACCAACATAATTTACATGCATATATAGAAATACACAGCTAAGTATGCAAAGGATATGTAACCTAAAGGCATACGATAGGTTATAGGAGAGGGTGTGTTGATGGAGTCCCTCACAGCACACACATTTGGGAATTATATGTTATACAAATTCAAACCTGAATCAGTGATTATAAATGGATTATTACTGAATCAGACTAATCTCGTTCTTCCTATTTTCCGAACATATAAAATCTGAGAAAACTGAAGAGTCAAAAGAAGACTTAAGAATAGCAGTCACCTTCGTCTCTTCTAACTGAGGTTCCGCAATCTTTTTCCTCTCTTAAAAGGCTGAGATGGTTGTCAGTCATTTTCGGTGTAATACTGCAAATAAATGCGTACGTTTAGAAATTAATATCCTGGGAGAGCCAGAGAAGATCCCTTGTTTAGTTGATAAGCCTGAGATTGCTGTCGGATCATACTTCGGCAAGTTTTAACCGAGGGACAATGTTCATTGACTGGAGTTCCTGGAAAGGTATAAAAGAAGATAGAAAAGTTACGAAATAAACCCATTTTTCAAAAAGAATTTGGTCATCCCGTGATTTCAACATGAGGGCATAACATATAAGAATTCATACCATACCACAAATTCTGAAGATCCGTGAGATTTTAAAATGGACCATACTTAGCATTTGTCA